TTGATTAATATATGATTTAACGATTGTCAGGTTAATATACATCAAAATAATGGATTTGGCAAAAGKCCAAAAGTAACAAGTAGAGGTATAGTGAAAAAGATATATGAATGTATCATTAAAATATGTTAACCTCTTTGAAGCTCTTTATTAATACCCAAAAGGTTCATTCTAAATAATCTCACCACAGTCTTRCGTGAYCACATATGTGAGAGGGAAAAGAATGGTTATGTTTGCACAAGTAGTCAAGTTGTCCACTGGAGATGGCAGTGAGTGCTCATTAAAATAAAGGTTGACAATAAACAATAAGAAATTAACAAAATAAAATCAGCAAATACATGTTAATAAAACAAAGAAAACGTTTCTCTGCAAACTTTGCTTTTAAAAGAGATATGACATCATTAATACAAAGAGACAAAAATAATGCTAACAACACATAAATCAATCAAGTTCAATTACCTTGCTGTTATCATCATGTCTGGCATAACAGGAACCAAATAGAAACTAATAGCCAGTCCAAGCATAATTAATGAAACTGCAGCTAGCCAGACTTGTCTGTTTTTATCATGAATTAAATCAATAACAAATAATTGTTTTGATAATCAAAATTATGGGTAGATGATTGAATGAATGAATGCAACAGCCTATCCAAAGTATTTGCCCAAGTCTAGACCTAGATTTTAATGTTTTTCATCAGACTGTCGAGAGCAGGATAGAAAAATATCTTCCACACATACAATAACTATATTAAACAAAATGTATCTTCTGGTCATACCAAAAATCTCAAAGGATAGGTGAACAGAACATGTGCATTACATGTTGTGAGATCATCATCTTAAAAATATTCTGATGCAAATTAATGCCACATTGGGCTGTTTAAGTGGGATCAATTTTACATGTAGATTTGAAATTTGATAACATCCAGGTCTCTCCTATTTGCTTAATTCTCATAATTTCTTTGAAATAGGCCTAAGGACCAAATTTTAATATAATTCCAAAACCAATGATAGGAAGACAATGCATTCAATTGTGGTTTTTGGTACTCACTTGTTGCAAAAACTGTTTTTCATTGAAACAATCATTATCTATTATTATAAAAAAATATGAAGAATTACCTTTTTGGAAGGAAAGTAAGAAGTGGAGAAGGGCCAAGAAGCAGGTAACCAAACACTGAGAATACRATTCCTAATGTTATCAGAGTACGAGTTCTTCCCTTAACAAACAGATGTGAAAAAATATTTCAATTTTAAAAACTTATCAAACATGTATCATATGCACACACTTATAGAGAAATGTTTCATAATTATATACTCACAGTTTTATCACCAACCCATCCAACCAATGGTGCAGTAAAGGCATAAACTGCTCCAATTARTAAGAACATCAGACCGATTTGTGAAGGATTTAATCCAAACTGAAAGGAGACAACAATTTCACTTTAAAACCATTCCATCAGTACAAATATTGATTGATTTAACCACYTGACCGATACTTTTTCCCAGTTTAGGGTGGGGATGATCGTTAAATTTTAGAAAATTCTCCCACAAGATACCACAGTCTTAAAAGGGTGGATGCAGCAACATAGGATTTCTACCCTGCTTTAAACTAAGATACTTTCTAAAACAAATCTATATTTTTGGGTATTCAATTGTTCCTGAAAAGTGTCTTCACCTATTAAGGATAGTCATCTCAGACAACCTGCAAAATGTACAGTACATGTTTTGTCAAATACATGTGGAAAACAAGATTGTACATATCTGGCAACGATACTCCTGGCTGTTATGTCTGAGTGGTAGTGCCTTTAATTTTTGATACAACTGTCCTGGGTTCAAGACCCAGATGAGTTGTTATTTCTTTGATTTCTTTATTTGCAGAAAAATAAATAAATTCAATGAAATAATATATCACAGGGAATTGTTAATAAATTAATAGAAGAAACAAATAGTTTACAATGAAGTTTACATAAGTTAACAGGAAAGTGAGTGACAGATTTTTACCCCTCAAATAACTCTTCGACTTCTTCACAATCTTAAAAATTATGTGATAGATGCTTGCTTTGAGCTTTTTACATGCAAGTCCATTAATAGATTATAAACATGGGCAACATTCCTCATTTCTATGTCAGTCTGCAAATTCTTGAAGTTGATTGAATGTCCTAATTCTATTGCTTTTTATGGAGTATAACTAATACTATAGTCGTACCTGATACTAAATAGTATGCTTTTACAGTTCGTGCTCTATTAAAGTTACCGGAAATGTWTTTTGTGCACTTGATGGTATACTTACTGTACTTATGTGAGGTGATAAAGTAGGATCAAGAAATCCAAGTATAATACCACTGAGAATAATACAAGAACCTATCCACAAAAAAAATATTAGAATGATTTCACATAAGCGTTTTTAACATGCAAATGARTTTTTTCGAGTATTTAACATGCAAATYAATTGACACCTAAGCTACAGGTAGCCCAAACATATTATCAAAGGACGATGTGTTAGACCGTTTATCAATTTTGAATTAATCATGAAAGTAAGTTTGTAATAAATATAATAATGCCTTCTAAAACCACTAAAAACTGTAAATGATTCTCAGAAATCTCTCCAAAAGCCAGAATGATTATTAAAGCACATGTTAGTTTTAGTAATATTAGCATAAAAGTGTCTCTGGAGTGTTTTTGAGCACTTTGGAGATTCGCTCCCTTCCGAGCGAGTGTACGGGAGTGTACATACATTTAGGAAAGRTTTGTAGCTCCCACTCGGAGCGGCTTACAAATGCTCGCATTCAAAAAAATATTTCTCCCTAAACGCTCAATTTCTTACAGCAAAAGTCCTATCAGTGATTAACAGATAAACATCATGCCAACCGACCATTTTGAGTGTTTCTCYRTCAACTCTGTGCAAACAAATGATTTTTCAACGTTCGGAACGACTTCAAAAATCTTCCCTGGGTATGCGTGGTCTTCAGCTTTGCAATCATTACTTTCTTGCATATGGTTTGTGTGTTCCTCCTGTACCTCTTTCACTACTTCTGTAGCTGTCTTTCGTCTTCTCGCAAGGAGGCTATGAGGGTTGCCAGCTTCGTCTCAAGTTTTCAAGGTAACAACTCATCTCAGGTGACAACTAATTTTCATGTTAAACTACTCGAAAACTCATTTGCATGTTAAAAACGCTTATGTGAAATCGTTCTATTAAGTTAGTACAGCAAATCACAAGTGAATAATGCATGCATGGAAGTAAGGAAAAAAAATGGTGATTGTACAGAATATTTTTACATGTAGGCTGTAATGCCACCATTATTTGAAACAGAAACCTGGTAATTAATGTTCTTTCAAGATTTATCACCAGATTGATCAGTTCWGTGATTTCAAGACAAGCCCAGCTGTCAGAGCAGTTTACTCTTTACTTTGAAGCTGAATTATTTTGGAGTAGCAACATCTAACATATTACAATCAATCCACCAATGGCGACACAATTGTGTAGTAAAGGACAAAAATAAGGATGCAAAGCTGGACTTTGCAAGACATACTTTTGAAAAAAACACAGCTGCAATAAGACCATAAACTATTAGATAAATTGGCAGCTGATAAAAACAGACTTCAAATTTAATCAATAATTTAAACAGATCTATCGAAGATCAGTTCCATCTATAGCTAATCAGCATTTAGAGGCCCGTACAGCAGCAGAGAAAGGTTTGTCTCTGATTGAAGAATGAAAGAAACTTTTGAAGGAAAACTCTTTTAATCATATGTGGGTGAATTCTTTTAAAACTGCTGCCGACTAGGAAAACAAGAAGCTTCATAAAGCTAGAAGGAGGKGGRGGGGGGGGGGGGTGAATGCGATAGGACGAGATTGGAGATTGATGCAAAGTCACGGCATTTGGCAAGAACGAGGGCCTAAGTCCTACACACTTAGAACCRCCGAGCCAGAATTCATTTCCGACGTTGGACAAGAAACTTAAGTTCCTTCACTGCTGGAAACCCAAGCACATGTCCTGTGACTGTGTTGCCCTACTCCACTGTTCTGCTAGAGGTACTTCAAAATGACTACATTTGGAGGCCAAAAATCTTGAACTTTCAGACTGTGAATTAAGTCATTCAAAACGATTGTGTATGTTCACTTCGAGGACGTTTGAAAACATGCATTGAATTTTTGAAATTTATTGTTTCTTCAAGTATGGTGCTACGTATAATTTAACATGGTTATTTCTTGCTGATTACTTCCATGCCTCCAAGATCCCTTTTTCTAATCATTGCTATTGCTTTAAATAATTCCGATTTCATACAATGTTCATTCTTGGATCTTCTATCTGCTGGATCAGTCAAAGAAGTTAACATTAATTTTTCTTACTATAGAAAGAAAAATAACAAGCTACAGTTCACACTAGATGTTAGAAAATTAAAGTAATTGAGAGAATTTTTTGGTCCTTCAACGGGAGTCTGGTGGAGACTGGTTTGTTAAATTTGACCTTAAGTCAGAATGGTTATCACCATATTGATATTGTTCTTCATATGGTTTGTCATTTTCCATTTCCAGAYGTGATAGATACTTTCAGTTTGCTTTTGTTGCCATTTGGACTTGCCACAGCACCTTATGTTTTCTAAAGTAATGTGGCCTCTTGTCAAACACTAGAAGGGACAAGGAAAATGCACCGCAGTAGTGTATCTTAATGATTGCTTTAGGAATAAGTAGTCAAATGTGGTCTTATAACTGATAATGAAAAAAGCCACTTAGTCCTTCACCAGTGTGGAGAATATTTGGGTTACCTTGATTTGCATAATGGATTATTTCAAGTACATGTACCTCACCACAACGTTACCGGTCATCTCGCCCCATTGCCATCTCGCCCCCACCATCTCGCCCCCACTATGCCATCTCGCCCCACCATCTCGCCCCCTATTGATATCACTGTCTATGTCATTTAGCCCCCATGAAGTCTTGAAGTTTAACTTTGTTTAACTGTTGAAATTTACGTAATATTATAAGAATTTTGCCTGTCAATTGTGTC